TTTTGAAATGGGTCAGACTGTACGAATCATGTTGAGTAGCATTGGCTTGTATTCTGATAGAACTGATGAGGATTGAGTAATGACATTGATGTACGAAAAGTTATGTAAGGAGTGCATGCAACACTTATTGAAAAAGGCTAGAATGTTTTGCTATAAATAAAATAAGGGAAGAGATGATTTGGGTTTTTGAAAGATCTTGGGAATGAAATAGTTCGACAATGCTCAGCGAGGGGCCTCTTGAACACTGTGACGGACATTACAATTTTTGAAATGTTTCATGACAACCTGAATGAGCATAAACATTTTAAGTAATATCTGTAGGCATTCGATGTAGTTAGTTTGCCATATAAAGCATGGAATTGCCTCATTTTCAACGTCCATATCAAAAGTAACAAACCACATAATTAGGCAACAAACAAACCAACCAACTGGCAGACAAGTGACCTCAGTTTGCACACACAACAATTTTCGTCTTCACAACCAGTTCCAGATTTTTTCTGGAACCCACGAAAACTCATAAGGTTTTTGAGGGTAAACGCAAGACTATCGTTGGACTAACCACTTATATGTCTTACCCAGCTCTCAGTTTAAAATAACAAAATAACGTTCATATTATTAGCCGTAAAATTCCTCCTCACACGGACGCAGGTTCTTAATGGCGGCATTTATAAAATTAAAAATTAAAAATTATTTAAACTTAAAATTAACGCGAACTTCTCATGGTATACTGTGTTTTACCGAACGAGGTTCTAGCTACGAAGTCAGGGCAATTTGACATGCGAATGTTTGCCACTACCAAAATTTATATTAAAAGAATTTGATAAACATTTGTTATTGTTCTAATTCACTGACAGCAGTTGTTAACCAGTCGACTTCAAAACCGCTGGGTTATGTGTTTATGTGAGCAAGGCTGAGCCATGCAGCGAAGGATGTGATCGTACATTACTTACTAAAACAGGTGTTACATCTGAATTCACGGCTGAACATAATTTTCAGAAGTCTGATGATGCCGTTGTTCACGAGACTAACTTTTCTTTAAATTCACCTGTAGGTATTGGGTGTCCATTGATAATTCTCCTCTCACGAAGAAGTTGGGTTGATTGCACGTAAGTGTAACACACAGACAGAAACACGAGAGCCTTCCAGTACATGGCAAAGTGACGTCTGCACTTGAAGTGACAGTCTCAGAAACACATCTGTGACGAAGTGCGTCAGTTTCCATTTCATTACCTAACTAAACACATCTCACAGGAGTTTATTTCTTAATTGCTGAAACGTGTAACTTCAGTAACTAAAAATAAAATGAACTGCTCGGAGTTTCGCCCTCAGATCGAACTTTCTCTTCCAGAAGACTGAATACTGCTGAATTCTTTCAACCTTTGTTCTGGTGTGTTTAAAAAAGTCTCTAAACAACACGCTTTATCTTCAGAGATTATTTATTTAATAACAGAGCTATAGGGTGTTTATTAACGCTACGTTATCTTGGACTAAGTGCGTCGTCTGTTGTGTTGCTTCTCGCTTCTTCCGTTGCTGCGTGGTTTCCGACGTGTAGTTAGGGATTCTTATTGACTCGGTTCATGGATACTAATCAGCAGTTTCCTGTGTAGGAATAAACCCTGTGATAGATCGATACCACTCTCCATAAAACCTGCAAACAAAAGTAGTCTTTGTTACGAGAACCCAGGATTCAGCACCGCTAATAACAAAGTGCGCCATTGGTCACGATCCAGAGCCAGTTCCAGTCGCCTTCTGTGTTCTTCAAGTATCCGTTTTTCTGTTCAGAATTCTGTACGTAGTCCTATTATTTTATTACTTGTCTCCACTGTCCCATTCACACACTAATTTCTAAGGTAGCCACAGAAGAACGCCTGGACACTTTCATGATCTGAACGGAAATCCAAAAGAAAGGTACCGGCAAGTATTTTTCTTCATTAGGTTTCATGGATGAGGCCTGTCGCATACGTTTATGGTGCAGTAAATACAGGGGCCACGGATGAAGGGAAAATTCAAGTCAACTAACTAACTAACTCCATGGTTGCAGATCCAACACCGACAACACCAAAGCCCGCCACCGGCCACGATCCTGAACCAACTCAATCTATTCACCATCCTGACAGCCCACCTCCCTAAGATCCATCTTAATGTTATCCTCCCATCTCCTTCTTCGTTTGCCCAGTGGTCGTTGTCCAGAAGGAAATCCCACCAAAGTTCTGTATGTACCCCTTGCCTCCATGTGTGCTACATGTCCAGCCCATCGGAGTCTCATAAATTTCACTACCCTTACTATGCTAGGTGACCTGTACAATGCATGCAACTTCTCGTTAAAAAAATCCCCACTTATTTTGTCCGTCCTTGGTCCAGATATCCTCCTGAGAACCCTGTTTTCAAACACTTGTGATTTACGTTCTTCCTTCAAGGTAAGAGACCATGTTTCACAACCATACAAGACAACAGGCAAAATGTTTGTTTTATATATTCTGTTCTTTAGTGTTTTGGATAGCAAACAAGATAGTAACAGTTTTTGAATTGCATAAAAACAAGCGTCTCCCGAATTTATTCTACTCTTAATTTCATCATGGACCCCATTTCTATTTGATACTGTTATTCCGAGATACTTAAATTTTGAAACTTTTTCAAACGATGTGTTACTTAAAATTATGTTCCGCCATTGTTGCTAATGTTGGTCCCGTATTACGCCCATGTATTTAGTATTGTCTGCATTAACTTCCTTGGTAGCCTGTAGGAGAGTTTCTGGATTCTTGGTTAAGGTACCCACACCATCCCCCAGCAAATTGACATCATCAGCACGGGCAAATACCTGGTGCAGACCATTCAATTCGAGCCCTTCCTGATGACACGCTCTAGAGCAAAATTAAAAAGCATTGGGGACAAAGCATCACCCTGTTTTAGGCCATCATGCACTAGGAAACGATCAAACAGACGTTTGCCTACACGAACTCTACTAAATACCCCATCCATACACTTCTTAATTAACTCAACAAGTTTTTTGTTATTCCAGACTGAATCAAAATGCCAACAGTGCCTATCTTCTGAGTCATATGCCTTCCTAAAGTCCGCAAATAGTTGGTGAACTGACCCATTGTACTTCAACTTTTTCTCTAATATTTGCTGAATGCATAAGATCCGATCATTAGTTGGCCTGTTACGGCGGAATCCACATTGATCGTACCTGATGCTTTTATTCATAAATGGCGTTAACCTTTCAGGAAAAAAATACTCTATTAAATTCTGTATGTCGTTGACAAACGAGAGGTACCTCGGCCATTGCTGCACTCAAATTTTGTTCCTTGTTTTGTGGATAGGGATAACATTAGATTCTTTCTACATCTGGGGTAGTACTTATGGAAAAATTCAAGTTAGAAGAGCAAAACCGGTGTTAATAGCTAAAGAATACACAAGAATACTGATAGAAAGAAGAGGGATTTTAAAATTCATTGTGAAATAATAAATAGAAATAACAAATGTAAAACAAAATATATGGTTGGTAGAGGTTCGTAACTCGATAGACACTTAGAAAAGAACTAAGAATCTATACGTACAATTAGACCGTGTTTCAAAGTAGTTTATTAAAATAGTTTTAATTACGAGGCTTCATTATAAGTCTTCGTAAATGACGGAAATCTAATGTAGCAAAAAAAAAATTAAAATTTTGTCCAAAGATTGATGGCAGGAGTAATTAAGTGGCAATTACATGTACAAAGTAAAGAAGTTGTAACCAATGTGTACTGCGCATGAGGAACGTGTCGGATCTTCGTCGTGACTGACGTGATAACCAACGGGGTTAGGGTGACGGAAGGAAAGATGTAAAATTTTAAGATAATGTGCCAGGATATTGTAACAGTTGAACACATTAAGGTCCTGACCCCAAAGCAGAAAGCCACTAAGCGCCATTTTGCTTTTAATATTTTACAAACCAGTGACTCTGTACTGAGTTTGTACCTTAAAATGGTGTCACTTTCATGAACCAATGTTGTTCTGGCCCATTCCCGATGTCTGAAGTGCATTTTATATAGACTACATTACAGTTATACGATAGTTGGCTGTACTCCACTCACTCCATCTGACATCAGATACGTGCTTTGTCAACCCTATGAAGCGCCTATTAAAATCGCCCCGTCCGCCTGAATATGAGCATGTTGTAACAAAGGAACGGATCAGTGGATTTTGATTGTTTTTGATATCGGGAGTTTTATTAGAACTTTTCATGAAAACTGAAATTAAAAAAAAAATCAGACAAGAATATTGAGCGCATTGCATTCACTCACTTTTTTATGCTAGAGTGGAGAATCTCCGGATTACCTTGAATGCCACTCTTACTGGATTCTTCTCGGGCTACCAACCGTGTAAGTTGGTTTAATGAAGAAAACACCAACCTTTCGGGAACCATCGTCGTCCTCGTCCTCAGGGTGGTTCTCAAAATTTCGGTGTTTTCGTCACTAATCTACCTTACACGGCTGGTAGCCCGAGAAGGATTCATTATTCGTAGTCGTCGTGAAAACTTCAGATCATAAGCCATTGCTACTTTCGTTATCTGGGTTAAAGTTCTAAGGCCAATATCTTGCGACCTCATCAATATTCTTGTCTTTATTACATTCTTTCCTCGAATTCATTCCACAGACACACACACACTCTCCATCCATTTTATATGAAATCAATTTGGTAAGGGTGTCAGTAACCAATTCGTCATTATCGGAAACTTTAGAAAATCATTTATAAAGAGTTGTGCAATCCTGTAGTAATTTGTGAAAATTTATATTTTTATGAAGACAAGCAGTCGCTGAAATATTATTTGAAAGGCACTATCTCGCTTTGTCTAGAGATAAAGCAGAATGAGGTTGGAGACTCCAAACTTCAACTTATATCACAAGTTTGTGTGTGTTCATTGCGAACTATTGTCGGGGCTGTCATATGCGTCTAGTCATGAAAGTAAAATATAATGCCTAAGGATTAATCATAAGGCTCTTATTCATGTACCGGTGTTTTAAATTAGCTGGGAATTAAGGTCGCTGATACGGGTCTTATAGATGGTGATTCAAATCTGTACTACAATACCTAAGGAACTTACTAGATAAATCATTTTTAGTAGCAGAGACAAGTAAGGCTTTATTTACATTTTCCGTCGTTTCCGAATGACAAATATCTTACGATGAAGCTACTTGCTTAACATGATTGACACGTAGATAGTTTAAACGCAAATATCAAACTTGTACCCAAAAAGTACTATGAGCCGGGATAGCTCAGTCAGTATAGTGACTAGATACGGGCTGGACGACCGGGGTTCGATCCCCGACGGGGGCAGAGGATTTTTCCTCTAGCCTCTGCGTCCAGACCGGCTCTGGGGGCCACCCAGCCTCCTTCCTTGGGGGTCCTTTCCCGGGGGTAAAGCCGGCCGGGGCGTGATGCTGACCACTCACCCCCATCTAGTGCCGGGGTCAAGGAAGAGAGGAGCTATACCTCCACTCACCCCAAACGCCTACATGGCGTATAGTGGGACAAACTTTACCTTTTACCCAAAAAGTACTATGACATGACGATTGAAAAATGCTTTGAATCTGGTTTCATCTTTCATTTGTCGTAGGCAAAGAAATCAATTGACGTCTTATGTTTAAATATATTTACCCGAACGTCTCACTATTTTTTTGTCGTCCCAAAGTTGGTGTAGTTTGACTTCTTAGTTCGTGTCCGTTTGGTGCGACGTTTAAATGATAATATTAAAGTGGGCGCCATTTATCGGGATGGTTAGCGGGTGGTCGGTGCATGATATCTTAGGAACATGGCATGCAGTCAACGGAGTGGATGACGTAATAAACTTAATTATAATTTGCAGCAACGTAATAGTTTAAATACGGCACAAAAACATACACCGAAGATCGGACTGAGAGCGTAAGATAAATTCCGATGAAATTCAATCTGAGTTAAATATTTAAAAGCTTATTTTGGAAATTTGGATGGAATTTTATCAACTGATTCTGTCGCCGAGTAACTTGGAAGTGTGTCCAATATATCCGAAAACTGGCTACAGAGGTGGTTCTGGCCTCGCCCACGCCAAGGAAGTTATCCTCTTTGCAAGATAATGGATCATTGTCACAGCGAAAACCAGTTAAAATTGACGAGCCTTTATTCGTGAGTCAGATTGAGACTTAAGCCACTTTTTGACTGAAGACCTAGTTGAAGCTGGGGCAGTAACTACAACTGGTTGGCCAACAATTATAATTGCGTGGTTCTGGGAGATTCCAAGAAGCTATGAATACTAATAGGGGATAAGGCGAACAGGATCAGTCTTAGTGGAAATTTATATCAAAATCGATTTCCAAACCACGGTCCACTTATGTAGACTAAATTTTTAATATGCTTTCCTCCATAGGAGCTCCGTGTTCTGTCTTAGGAAAACAAGTCGGGGCCTGATCTACATGAATTGTTTCTATTTTGTAAAAATCGACAATCACAATTTTAAAAAGCGACATAAACGTAAAAGCTTCGAAACTCGGAAATTGTGGCGGATGTTTATTTATATTTTCTCCTCAAAATCCTACTTAAGTATTGCAGTGGGGCTTTAATTCGCCATCTATTTATTATGCAGAATTTCATGGTCACACCAAACTCTTATATGACAAATATTGTTACACTTCATAATATTCTATAATAGTTTAATTTACTTAATTTATTTAAATTATTATTACAACTATACTAATGCATTTAGTAACAATTTTCTTTGTGTATTAGCGTACTCTGTATCAATGTATTTTTATATTATATTTGTTAGTACCTTTCTATATTTATTATTGTGTTCGTGTGCTCGTCTCTTGTGCTGTATCTGTAATTGGCCTTCTGGCAGTTGATACATCACAATAATAATAATAATGAAGAATTGAATTGAATCGAGTTAAATGTTAGATTGATCTTATATATTCATTCATATATTTAGTTCAGTCTGTTTGCTTTTTTGTACATGTACGTATTATCGCGTTTGCCTGTCATTGGCTCCTCGCTGTTGGCAAACACTTTAATAAATGAATTGAATTATTATTGTAAACCGATTATTTGTCTGGTCCACAAACAGCCAAACACTTCGGGATTATAATTGTTGTTGTTATTATTAACAGTTTCCGCTGTGGATCGTAATTCTGGCACAGCTGCTAGTGGCTCCTTGGAGTCATGGTGCCAGGATCCTTGGCGTGTTCCCGTTTCCAGCGAGAAGTCACGTGTTCGTCCTGAGGGCTCTAATGTTGGAACTTGCCGACAGAGGGCACGAAGTGACTGTTGTTAGTCCTTACCCAGAAAGCAAACCTGTCCCTAACTACACAGAGATATACGTGACAGCTAATTTATCAGCTGTCACTGGAGGGCATGGTAAGGAATCATACTGTACACGTATTCGCTGTTTGAGATCTTGTATTACCTGTTGGTCTTTGTGATCATTTATTGAAGATAAAATCATGACAATAAATGCGATAACAGATGTTTAGAAGGCAGAGAAAATGTGAGTTATACTTTTCTGGATTGTGAAATACACGTTGTCACAATCATAGTGGCTCTGATGCACTATAATAGATATTCTGTACAAATATTAATGGTTTCCATAGTCTCAGTTAAATATGCAGCCATAAATCGTGAGTATGTCTGTATATATACACAAACTGTATTGTGTACTCCTCGTAGGCCTATTTCCGTTATGGATCATTTATATTTTTATTGATTTTTGTAATTACAGTGCCAAGTAATTTGTTCGACATGAAGTCCTTTGGACTCTTCCAGTTGACATTCATGATGTGGTTTATGGGTGAAGCGTTGTGCGACCACGTACTGCAAAATGACAACATCCAGAAACTGATTCATTCTAAAGATCTTCATTTCGATCTTGTGATCGTTGAAGCCTTTATTAACGAATGTGTCTTAGGATTCGCTCATAAATTTAACGCTCCCATTATACAAGTCTGCACATACGGAGGAGGAAATTTCATGGCTGACTGGGTCGGAAGTCCTAATCCTTACTCTTACGTCCCCGATGAGTTCCTTCATTACAAGGGTAAGATGAATTTCTGGGAAAGAATGCACAATACAGTCGTTGGTACACTAAAACACGTGGGCAGGCACCTGATCCACGTGCCGAAACAAAATGCCGTGATGCAGAAATATTTCAACTATACAGACAAATTTCCACCCGTGTGGGAGCTGGAATACAGAACGTCCTTGGTCCTTGTCAACTCGCATTTCAGTCTCAGTTACCCGAAGCCTCTCTCGCCAAACTACGTGCAGGTTGGCGGAATGCACGTGAAACCTCCGAAGAAGCTTCCACAGGTGAGAAACGTCAATATCTGCACTAGTAACAAATAAGTAATATGTAGGTCTAATTGTTTGTCACACACGAGGTCTACATATTAACCCATGTTATGCAAGTATTCCTTCCACACTCGTTGTTGCGTAAATTATGATCTGCGCTTATTAACTTCATAGGCCCTGCGTCCTTGCATGGAACTAAATTTTTGGAGCAAAAGATTTCTTGAGAGCCAAATGTTTATCACCATGTTACCAAGAGCCTCAACTTGGCCAATGCTAAATTTGCCAAAGAGTTAATAGAAATTTGCTTAGAAAATGTGTGTTATAGTATTAAAGTGGTCCGGAGTATTAATAGTGAATAGTTTATTTTGTTAATCACACACCGGCTAGCAAAGACAAGACAAGGAACGACAGCCTTAGACACGCTTTGTCAGATCATATCCAATTTTACGAGGAAACACACGTAGTTTAGACGCGTGAATGAGACTTTTTCCATTAGAAAGTCTTAGACGACGATTTCACATGGACTACATTTATTTCGTAGTGTGTTGTAATGGAATATGGTAAATCAGAATTTGGCAGAAGACTTTTACCAAGTTATAACATGCACGCATAACCTTATAATTCTGGCACTTTCACAGCAATTTGACTTCTGAACTTTAACCATGGTAACTAACTTAAATATTGTAAACTGAAGATTGTCCACCCAATCGATTTTGGCGCTCAGAAATGCATTACGTAAAGAACAAGTTTAATTGAAGTAATGGTTACATCGGCAGATTTTGGTAGAACTTCCTAGTATCAAACTGTAGGAGCATGTGTTCAGACAATCTGGAGTTTTTTTGTGGGTACGGGCGGCGAGTTTAATAGGTTTTCCGGAACGTGCATTCCGGTTTAAAGGAAGTGAAATTTGAATGGGCTTAGATCTCCGTCTTTTCATTGTCTTTTTTATTTTTTGAAATAACTGTGTCCCATCCGCCCATGTATCTGCATATAACAACTCGAGAGCAGCTGAAGGAAATTTCAAGACATTAGATATTGAAGATCTTCGTTCCCATTTTGGTTAATACTGGAAATATTAATTAACAATATACATGAAGACCTATGAGTGTATGTATGTGCGCCAAAGTTAATTGGATAGGAAATATCCAGGCTGCCTTGGTTACCGTGGTTACTATTATCTTGGTTAAAGGTCACTAGTCAAATTCAAGCTGACGCGCCAGATTTGATGCCTTATTCTTTCATTTCCTAACGTGTATCATTTTGAGATGGAACAGAAGTACACCATTTTAGGAACTGTTATCCAAGGCATAACATAAACTAGAACAGATTATGTGGTTCTGAAGCCAAGTAGCTTCTGCTTGTTAACCAGCTCCATACATTCCATCTTAGGCCTTAGCTAGCAAAAATATTCATCCTGTTGTTAGCAAATTCATTCTCGATTGTGTTCCCTATCTGCTTACGCAGGCGAAGTACAGTGAAGGCTTGATGGGTGGAGGGACATTGACTGCTAACATATTCTTTATGACGGGCCATATGTATGCAACTGAGTATTTAAATTAATTTTATATTTATTAAGGTG